CCCCACATGGTTAGCATCTGGCTTTGAACTCTGGACCCTCCCTGCAGTTGGGCTCTTCTAAAATAGGTCCCTGGTGCACGGGGCAGTCCCCACGTTCTGAGAGTGAACTCAGAGTAGGGTCTGTAAACGCCATCTCTATGTGTTCCCGTGCCCCTCAACCATGCAAGGAGCCGGTCCTGTTTGGAACGACAATCATGGAGAACATCCGATTCGGAAAACTGGAGGCCTCTGACGAAGAGGTGTATAGAGCTGCACGAGAAGCCAATGCCCACGAGTTCATCAGCAGCTTCCCTGACGGCTACAGCACTGTAGTTGGTGGGTCTCTTGGCGGGAAGCTGCTGGGTCAGCGGGGCAGGGTGGGGCTCAGGGGCCAGGGTCCTAATGGCAGTGAGCAGTTCAGTGTGACTCCTGAGAGGGGAGCTCGAGGAGAGTCACACCAGGACAGGCCAGACTGTGGCTGACGGGACAGAGATGGCTCTTTGGGACAGAAGAGCTCCAGCCCATGTCGCTCAGGCATAACAGACTAGAGAGGGCTCTGAGAGGAGACAGGACGTAACGATGGTAAATGGGAGAACCCTGGCCACAGGCCCAAGGGACTTGTCCACTCTGGGGCCTACCATTGCCCCAGACAGGAAATAGGGCTCCTTTCTAAGCTGTCCCTATTCTTCTGGTTCCCAGGACGCCCCAGTTCTCTGGCACTGCAGTGGCATCTCTCAGCACAACAGGCTGGCGTCTTGTGCAGGCCTTTCCTGAGTCAGGGTGCGAGAACAGATCGGCACACTAGCTCGTGCCTGTGACAGCCTGAGCCTTAGATGGTCATCCCCACAGCTCCTCTGTCCATCTTGGGGGCTGTGTGTATCATATAGAGGAGATGGACTATCCAGCACCTTGACTGTGCTTCAGAATGTTCCATTACCTCTCGAGGTTTCTCAGCTAACTGCCTGGGACCTTTCAGGCTGTACCGGTCTCTAGCAGTCCCTTCAGGTCCTAACATAGCTGTGCGTACATGCTCAGGGCTCTGTGCCGTTCTGGTGGGAGACCCTTGTCATCTCTCCCTGTTGGTACTTCCTTGTACTTTAAATTCCAGTGTCCCTTGCTGTTGGGCTTCCCAGGACTGCTCCCCTTACTGACCTGTGATCCTGCCATCACTTTGCAGTCTCTTGAGGTTATATGTGGCTCCCAGGATGTCAAGTGCCTCTGTGTTTAACATCTTTGTGTTGCACTGCCCATGCTTGGTTACCAAATGGTCTTACTACAGCTGAGGCCAGGATCCAGGAAGATCGTTGTTGCTGTGGGCACCTGGTGGGAACTGCCCACCCAGATCTGAGACCCACCAAGGAAGGGACACTCATGCAAGACACTTGTGTTTCATGTGCGTTATTATGTGCATTATTATGCTGGAGCACTCAGACTGACAAGTATGCACACGGGGTAGGGGTGGGGTCCTTAGAGGAGCCTGATGGAAGCACCTAAGTAGCCAGTGCCCATGGCCTACCACCTCCAAGGGTGGAGCTGAGGGTCACTTCGGATCCTGTCCCCTCTTTCCACAGGTGAGCGGGGCGCAACCTTGTCTGGTGGCCAGAAGCAGCGCCTAGCCATCGCACGTGCCCTCATCAAGCAGCCCACTGTGCTGATCCTGGATGAGGCCACCAGTGCACTAGATGCAGAGTCTGAGAGGGTGGTGCAGGAGGCACTGGACCGGGCCAGCGCTGGTCGCACCGTGTTAGTCATTGCCCACCGGCTCAGTACTGTGCGTGCAGCGCACTGCATCGTCGTCATGGCCAATGGCCAAGTCTGTGAGGTCAGTCGGGCTGGGAGTGGGCAGGGGCTCAGGTGGCCTAGCTAAGCTGTATGCGCACCTGGCTTGGCTCCAGGTGCTTGAGGTCATGTTCTGGGAACAACATCCCAACAGACCAAGGTCTTCTGTCCTCAGATAAGCTCTGACCTCTGGGAGAGGTGAGCTGCGGGCTCCCAGGACCAGAGGATGTGGATGGTGTTAATGAAAAGTCTGAGGCAGAGCTTGCCACCCAGGGGCTCAGATACTGCATCAGGGACTTTTTTATTTATTTGTTTTTTTGTTTTTCGAGAAACCTATACAGGTTTTTCTGTGTAGCCCTGGCTTTCTGGAACTCCCTCTGTAGACCAGGCTGGCCTTGAACTCATAGATATCTGCCTTCTGTTGCTGAAATTAATGGTGTATGCCACTACCATCCAGCTTTGTGTCAGGGACTTTTATGGAATCAGTCAGGGGCAGAACCTCAGAGCACTTGGATGTATATCTCACAGCCCCAAGCTGAAGAAGAGACATCCGCTGAGCAGGAGGTAGCATTGACCAATAAAGCTGTGCCCAAGGTGTTTTGTTTAAAATGAGCCCAGAGTTGTCCAGTGTCTCTAAATGGGGCATCAGCTTAAGTGGCTGGGAGCCTATCAGGTGATGGGGCTGGGGCTCAGAGTTTAGCTCTGCTGAATGACCCTCCTTCTGCCTCCAGGCTGGGACCCACGAAGAGCTTCTCAGAAAGGGCGGGCTGTATGCAGAGCTTATCCGGAGACAAGCCCTGGATGCCCCACTGACCTCCGCTCCAGCTGCAGAGAAGCCTCAAGACCCCAGCAGCCACCAGTGGAAAGCCTGAGAGAGCCCCTGGGTCAGGTCACTGCCGAGAAGCAGTCCGGGGCTGGAGCTGGGCTGGGGACAGAGCCCTTGGAGAGCCAGTGTGTGGGGATGTGGTCTGCACTCCTGCTCCCTTAAAGGAACTGGGCCTGGCAGCTGGGGCGGGAAGGCCGCTTTCCTCCCACCTGCTTCCACCGTCCTGCCTCAGCTCTGTGGTTACTGGGATGGACACGGTGAGGCAAGTCCCTGAGGCACCTCTGACTGAACCTTCCCCTCTGACCCAGTTCTCCAATACACTAAGGTTATTCAGGCCCTCGCTCCAGGGGACTGAAAATTCATGGTCTGGCCAGGCCTAGTCAATGGGCTGTAATCCAGGCAACTGGGAGACTGAAGTAGGAGGATCAAGGGGTTCAGGGCCATCCTGGGCTACATAGTGAGACCCTATCTCAAAAAAACCTTAAATGAATAAATATAATAAAAGAAATTTTTAAAAGAGGCTGAGACTGTAGCTCAGTAGCAGAGTGCCTGCCATATGTGAGGGGCCTAGATTTGATCCTTAGTACTGCAACTAAAATAATAAAACCCAGGGTTGGGGAGTAACCCAGGACCTCGCTCCTAGGCTCCGCCCCACCCTAAGTAGGACCACACATCGCTAGCCTTACCCTTGCATCCCCACTGTGTCTCTTGGCCCATCCTCCACACAGCCACAGTCCTGGTCTCCGGCAGGATGAAATGGTAGCAGTCCATTTACAAGAAGCATCCAGCCTACCCAGCTGTTCCCTGTGTGCTTCAAATCTGACCTGGTGAGACTATAAAGTCGAAGAAAAGACCTTGAAGAGACTGAGACTAGGCCATGTGTCCACCCAGAACATTCAGACAGGGGCATAGTGCCAACCCAGGCGTGGTGATGCACCTCTGTAATCCCAGCAGACCGGAAGTGGAGGTGGGATGATCGGTTAGAGGTCATCTTTGGCTACATAGTGAGTTTGAGGCTGGCATGGCCTTTGTGAGCACCTTCCCCAGAGGTGGAAGGCACAGTTACACACAATACAATATGAGGTTCATACTATCATGGAAATGGTGGGATGGTGGCCTCATCTTGAAAGGGGATAAGCAGATAGCCTGAATGACATGAGCCCATGGCCCCAAAGCAGTAATTGAGGCAAGCTGGGGCCTCCGTTGTCTTCTCAGGTGTCAAGGGAAGCACGTGAAGGACCCTTAGAATGCGCTGATGTTCCTGGAGCAGTCAGGACTGCCCTATGCTGCTGCAGATGCATCAATCCACTCCACTTTCCCCCAAAGGGTGATGGCCCCTAGCCGTGGTACCGTAGGTCACTTCCCACTGAGAAGCCATCCCTGGCCAACCACATCCAGGTTGTAGGACTCTGTGCAGACCAGCGAACCATCAGGGGAGAGGTGCTGTAACTTCATGGCCAGACAAGCATTTTGTACTTTTCATGTGGCCAAGGATAATAGTCTTTCAGGAATGATGGGCACATAATGCAAGAAACAGCTGCTATCGGAGGCCAGCGTAGGAAACACCATGGCTCGGGTGAGTGCAGAAGCTGAGGTGGGACTTGGGGTCAGGACCATACACTGCTGTGAGGACAAGGAACCCCAGAACTCTAGTCCAGAGTGCCCTGATTTAGTATCTGTAGTGACAGCCCTGGGAGCTGAGTTCTGGGTGGCTTCAGTTGCCTGGCCACTGTGCCCCCCACCCCTACCAAGTACAGCTTAGAGCAAAGCCTCCGCTTTCCATAGCAACGCCTCTGTCTGGCCCTACCCTTGGTCCCAGTGGGACATAAAATCTCCCTCACCAAGCAGTCAGCCAACAGAGTGTGCTCAACATCGTGCACAGTCACCCAGCTGGCAGTGTATACGTCAGCTGGTGTGATTCTCAGCCCCCTGAGGGCCACAGGACGGCTGCTCACCAGGGAATGGGACCCTGTGGCCAATGGCTGGTGACCCTACCTGTCACCCTGGCCTGGCTCTGCCAGCTCCTTCATAGAGACCAGCAGCTTATCTGGGCTTGCTCTTGAAAGCCTCTTCCAAGAATTAAGTGGGACACTTTGTAAGGATGCCCTTTAAGGCCACAGTGCTGTAGCCCCAGAAAGTGGTCACATCTGTGCCACAAGCCAGCCTATGCCACAAGCTTGGGACAGTTTCTGAGACTGTGAGCCCTGAGTGCTTGCTAGGACCAGTGTACATACAGTCAGAGGCAGCACACTGTGACTGATTGATGGGTGGAACTATGTCCCCACCACTCAAGGCCAGAAGCCACCAGAAGGAATCTGGTCTCCGGTACTTTTCAAAGACACAAGACAAGTACAATTCTGGGGCCAAGGAGAAACACCTGCCACCAAACCTAAGGACCTGAGTTCAGTCCCCCAAGACTCAGGTGGTGGATGAGAAACTCCCACAGGTTATCCTCTACCCTCCACACACTATGACACACACACCCAATAAACAATAAGTAAAACATTAGAGGAAACTGTAAATGGTGGATCCATCTGATTACTCTTGAGCATACAAAGGTTTTGCCCAATTCCCAGGTACATGAGGGTACAGATTAGAGTTTACCCGGTACGGAACACGACAGTGACAAGAACCAGGCCTTGCAGGCCCCTGTTCAGATGCCCTTGGGCTCCTGGCCCCTCGTGTCTGAGTTCCTTGTACTCTTCCAAACCCTCTAGCACTTCGCTTGTGCATGGCTCCTCCACCCCTGCAGCAGCACACGCACCCCACCCCTGCAGCAGCACACACACCCCACCCCTGCAGCTCTACCCTCATCTTCCCCTCTGAATTCCTGGAAGCAGCTCCATGCCTCAGATCCCATGCTGCCTTTGCCCTATGGCAGGGCGCAGGGAGATGATTCAAGGTCCTGGAATACCCTCCAGGTGTACTCCCTGACCAAGGCTAATGGGAGCGCAAACCGGTGTAACAGCTATTAGAGTGGGGGTGGGGGACCTGGTCACAGCTATCAAATTAGTAAGGCAGTGGCCTCAAACCAGAAACTCGGTTTCAGGGGGGTTGTGACATTGATAGCAAAGCTGGGATTGAAAGGCTGGGATCCTCAGTGGTCATCAGAGAAGACATCACCTCCACAAGATGGCCTAGGACCACTTTCAGAAACGAGGACGCTTTCCACGTGCTGGAGGTCATGATCCCTAGAATCTGTTCATCAAGAGAGAAAGGTGTAAAGTCACAGGGTACCCTGGGTACCCTGGGGGTAGCAAGAGAGCCCATAGTCATTGTGGAGGAAGATAGCCTCACCAACAGGAGGGCCCGAGAATGAGGAGGTAGGGCCTGGGTCACCAGGCATAGGGGTACACTCAGAACACAGAAGGCCATTGGTCCTGTAATGTTGCTAGGATGCTGGGGGCCGAGGCAGAGAAGACCTGCCTGTGCCAAACCTCCCACCACTCTGGCTTGGTCAAGAGCCAGGTCCACTTTGCAAACGAACAAATGACGCCAGGTGAGCTCATGGAAGGGCAGGAGAGGCCAAAGGAGAGAGCGGCTGGACCAAGGATCGGCACTTACCCCTCAGGGCTGGCATTCAGGGGCTGAGACTGGACCAAGGATCGGCACTTACCCCTCAGGGCTGGCATTCAGGGGCTGAGACCGGGAGCCTAAAGGGCCCCAAAGGCACCCCCAACCCCAATGCATATCTGGGCTTCCTTCAAGCCCTACCCAGGGCTGCTGCGGTTTCCTCCTGGCGCCTCTGGTCTCTGACAGCAGAGACTCCCCCCATGCCGCACTAATGGCTCAGCCTGGGGCCCCAGGGACCTTCCCTGCCCCCCCCCCCAGGCTGCTCTGCTGGCCCCAAAACCCCCCTCATGCTGAAACCTAATCCTCTGCAGCAGCTTCAGCTCAGTCCTGCTCTGCAGCCCCAGCCTGCCACTACCTCCTGCGCCCTACCTGGTCTTTACTGCAGAGCCCCAACCTCACGGAGCCAACGCCCCGTTCTGGGGAAGGCAGAGCTGGACCGACGACGACGACGAGACGAGACGTTCATCTCATCCAGTCCTACCAGGCCAGTACTTGCACCTCTCCGTCTTGGCTCCTCCCCGCTCTACCTTCTCCTTTTCTCTCCTCCCTCGTCCCCGCTGGGCCACCCGAATCCCATCTCAACCCCCCATTGGTCCTACAAAGCAGCCTCTGTCACTCCTCGGAAGCCCTGTACCCCAGGCAGCAGTCCCTTCTCTGGGCTCTAGCCATGAAACCCCCCTCAGGACTGGAGGAGGCCCGGCGGCGACAGGCCTCAGACATCCGGGTGTTCGCCAGCAGCTGCACCATGCATGGTCTGGGCCACGTCTTTGGCCCCGGAGGCCTGACCCTGCGCCGTGGGCTTTGGGCCACAGCCGTGCTCCTGTCGCTGGCGGCCTTCCTCTACCAAGTGGCTGAGCGCGTGCGCTACTATGGGGAGTTCCACCACAAGACCACCCTAGATGAGCGCGAGAGCCACCAGCTCACCTTCCCAGCCGTCACTCTGTGTAACATCAACCCACTGCGCCGCTCACGCCTCACACCCAACGACTTGCATTGGGCTGGGACGGCGCTGCTGGGCCTGGACCCTGCTGAACACGCAGCCTACCTTCGTGCCCTGGGCCAGCCCCCTGCACCGCCTGGCTTCATGCCCAGTCCCACCTTCGACATGGCACAACTCTACGCCAGAGCCGGCCACTCCCTTGAGGACATGTTGCTGGACTGCCGCTACCGTGGCCAGCCCTGTGGGCCTGAGAACTTCACCGTGGTGAGCCGGCTGCCCCAAGACTCACTGTCTACAATCGCCAGCCTTGTCAGCCCAAGAGTCCCCCCAAAACAGGGAACCTCAACACCCTTTGCCTGGGCATGCCTTCCCTCCTGCCAGCCACAGGCTCTCCACCCATCAAGTCATTCTGTCTAGTTTAGGAAGTGGCATCTGGAGGTTCTCTCCATCTCACACTTACACATTTGTGCACCTGGCCATGCCTCCCAGCAAGGACACCGACCCAAGCGGGCTGCAGGGCCAAGGGCTAGCTGGTGGAGACACTGCCCCTAGGGTAAAAATGCAACATTCTGGGACTATTCTGGGGCAGAAGACCCCCATCTGCTAGGAGAGGATTTTCCTGTGTCTCATCCAAGTTTTGCCACCTAAGAGAGGACAATAATAGATCCATTCCATCTTGTTCCAATTACCCCTGTGGGCTGTGTCCAGGGCTTTGGTGAGAGGCAGAGGAGTTGGAGTGAGGAGGTTTCCTCACTTCGCATATCCATATGTGAGGCTAAGGGCCTTGAGATGTGGGCTTCAGAGTTCTTTCAAGGATGGTGGGAGAACTGCGTGAGACCCGGTATCAAAAAGTCCAAAACATAAAACAAGTATGGTAGTGCACACCTTTAATCCCAGAACCTGGGAAGCAGAGGCAGGAGGAGCCCTGAATTCCAGACCAGCCTCATCCATACAACAACGCAAGTCCCAGGACTACATAGATAGAGAGAATGTGTCTTAAGAAAGAAAGAAAGAAAGAAAGAAAGAAAGAAAGAAAGAAAGAAAGAAAGAAAGAAAGAAAG